TTTCGACTGCCCGGCACCCTGAAACCAACGGGCAGGCGGAAAGAGCAAACGGTGTCCTCCAGCAATACCTGAGGTGTTATGTCAATGACAGAGAGAATGACTGGGTAGAAAAGTTGGCGCTGGCGGAATTTGCCTACAACAATGCCGAGAATGTGTCCACAGGGATGAGCCCCTTCTTGGCTAATTATGGGTGTCATCCCAGGGCTTTCCCAGGGGAGAAGGGGAGAGATGGAGCGCACCGGCAGCCGAGCATTTTGTAGAAGAAATGGAAGCAATCCACCGTCAGCTCCAACTCAACTTAGAAAGGGCGAAGGAAGAATACAAGAGGCAGGCAGACAAGAACCGAAGGGAAGGTGAAACCATAAGGGTTGGAGATAGGGTGTGGCTGTCAACCCGAGGGTTGCCGTTCAAAGGAGGTTGTAAGAAATTACGACCCAGGAGGTTGGGTCCCTTTGAGGTCATTCAACAGGTCAACCCAGTGGCTTTCAGGCTCCGGTTACCCAACCACATGAAACTGCACCCAGTATTTCACAGGTCGTTACTGTCACCGTACGAGGGGGGACGAGAAGGGATGGACACTGGGACCGGTCATAGAAGAAAGAGAATGCAGCAGTCATGTGGCAGAAATCCTTGATGCCAGGTGGAAGGGGAATCAGGTGGAGTATTTGGTAGCGTGGGAAGGAGAACCGGAGTCAGAAAACACGTGGGTAATGGCCAAAGATATCAATGACGAGGTATTGATAGAAATGTTCCATCAAAGGTTCCCGCGGAAACCTCAGCCTGTGGAGAGGTTCCGGAGGGAATACTTTGGGACCACTGAGGAGGAGGAGGAGTTGGAAGGATTCCCAGAATCGGAAGGGGAAGGGGAGATGGACTCGGAGGAGGAGGAGTGCTTCGAGACCAGGAACCGCAACAGGTGGAGAGAAGTGTTCGAGACATCGGAAGATGAAGGAAGTTCATTACGGGGGTTTGCCTCCTCAACGCCCGTAGAGGAGTGGGCCAGAGCGTGTGAAGCGGGCCCTGAGGGGAGGTGGATGTCAGGGAACTGCCATCGGAAGGAAGGGAGGTGAAAGGACTCAGACAGGTTGGAAGAGATTCAGCAGCTGAAGAGGGAACCAGCAAGGGAGAGAAGCTGAACTGAGGGAGGTGAAAGGGCTCAGACAGGTTGGAAGAGACTCAGCAGCGGAAGAGGAAACCAGCAGGGGGAGACAAGCTGAACTGAGGGAAAGGGAGCTGGGGGGATGGCTCAGAGATACTTCCAGCGAAAACAGTGGTGAGGTTTCCGGACCTCCTGTAGCGACACCCACTCCTCGCCGGAAACTGTCACGCAGAGAGTCCAGAAGACGTGTTTCCGTTAAGGAGCTTTTATGTTGGAAGCG